TACAAGCCCTCATCAAACAAACATTATTTAATTATCAAGAATAGAGTAAAATCTTATTCCATTTTTTATGTACATTTTTAATATTGGATGTTTGTGTAATTACAAATGTTATTGATTGTCAATATTAATAATTGTAATATAATTATGTTTATTATTATAAGTTGATCATAATATATTATTAATATAATAGTAATAGTAATCATATATACATACATATAAGTGCTGAACTTTCAAGTAATTTCTGTTACTCTTATCTTGGGCATACATGAGTAGATTTCAACCATTCTTTCTTTTTTTTCTCAGAGTCCCTTGAAAATTTGATGAAGGCTAGGAACAGTTTCCTGACAATAACTTATGCACAATCACAATGTTTTGCACAAAATTTCAGAGGGTTGAGGAACTCTTTTAAGTAGATTTCTTGATTTCCCATATATTCAAAAATTAAGAAATCTCTTCTCTGGATGTGTAATGTAGATTCAGATTTGTATGTACCCACTGATAAAATTTACTGTATTATAAGTTTTTTCTGAGAGACTTTTTCTTATGCCTAAATTTAATTATAGAAGAGTAAAATTTTGTTAGAGGACTAGACTATATGAAAGGATGAGAGACTCTGTTGAAATATCAAATTAAGAATTTTTCAATTGCAGGAATTACTTGCAAGAGTTGTTGGATATAGTAAATAATTTCAGTAAAGAAAAATTAATCATCTTCAACATATAATAAAAGAGTCTTAACAAAGCTTTCAATGTAATTTAGGTGTTCATATGATAGCCCTTACACAAAGGATAATATTTTTTTTGAAATATTATTTTGAGGAATATTTACTAGCCAAGTTTTCTTTTAGTTCTTTCACATTTTCCTAAATCCCAGAAATAATTATTTTGAAAATAAAGCAAAAAATAAAAGTGTATATTTATAGGAAATAATAGTTTGCCATAGTCTGAATTCTGCACTATTATTCCTTGTTGTTAAAACATTGTTTTCTTTCTAAGCTTTGATTATGTATTATTTAGTGACCTAGATTGTTAATAACTAAAAATAACTCTTTAGTGTACGATATTTTTCTCTTCATCATAAAACAGTAAAGTATGCATTCTTTTGTATTTTTCAGTAGAAATAGAGAATTAAGCATATACAGATCTTCACAGATTCTAGGCTTTGAGTGTGTTTAGGTGGTAGTGTTTACTTTTCTTCTTATATTGTATTGAATCATCCCAAACTATACGGAAAAGATGCAAACAAACAAAAAAGCTATAGAAACCCAATATTTGAGAAGCATTAGTTCTTAGAAAATTTGCATGAGCCAAAGGATCAATCTATGAACTCTTGACTAGGCCCCTGAAACAAACAACGTAACCAAATGGAAGATGGGGCAGGTGTTACAAGTGGAGAAAATAACTGCAGAAGCTGCTGTCAGAGATACAGGTTCAAAGTCTGAATAGCAAGAAGGGGGTAAGCATATAAAATGTCTCTGTCCTGAGGCACTATATTGACTGTGCAGGCTAGTCTTCTTCCACTATTTTGAAAACCCATGTAATTTACTCCCTGAAAGGAGTTTAATAGGACTGTGCATGCTTTTTATTTTATTTTATTTTATTTTATTTTATTTTATTTTATTTTATTATTTTAATCTTTTTAGAGAGGGAATGTGTGAACAGAGAGAGAGAATCTTAAGAAGGCACCACACTCAGTGCAGAGTTGTTCACAGGCCTCAATCCCACAACCCAGAGATTATGACCAGAGCCAAATTCAAGAGTGGGACACTCAACTGACTGAGCCACACAGGCACCCTAGGACTGTGCATGCTTAAATTACAATGGTAAACATAATAATATACAAGTACAATATAAAACATAACACCTCCAAAATGAATGATCCAATTAAAAAATGGGCAGAAGACATGAATAGACACTTTTCCAAGGAAGACATCCAGATGGCCAACAGACACATGAAAACATACTCAACACCAATGATCATCAGGGAAATACAAGTCTAACACAGTGAACTATCACCTCACACCTGTCAGAATGGCTAAAATCAACAACATAAGAAACAACAGATGATGGTGAGGATGTGGAAAAAGGGGGACCCTCTTACAGTGTTGGTGGGAATGTAAACTGGTGCAGCCTCTGTGGAAAACAGTATGGAGTTTCCTCAAAAAGTTAAAGATAGAACTACCCTACAATTCAGCAATTGCACTACTAGGTATTTACCCAAAGAATACAAAAACTCAAAGGAATACATGCACTCCAATGTTTATAGCAGCATTATCTACAATAGCCAGATTATAGAAATAGCCCAAATATCCATCGACTAATAAATGGATGAAGACGATGGGCTGTATATACATAGAGTGGAACATTATGCAGCCATTAAAGAAATAAACTCTTTCTATTTTCAATGACATGAATGGACCCAGAAAGTATTATGCTAAGCAAAATAAGTCAGAGAAAGATAAATGCCATATGTGGAATTTAAGAAACAAAACAAATAAGCAAAGGGGGGGGGGAGAGAAAGAGAGAGGCAAACCAAGAAACAGTTTCTTTTTAAAATATTTATTTTTTAATTTATTTTAAGAGAGAGAGACAGAGAGCACATGTATATGTGGGGAAGGAGCAGAGAGTGAGGCAGAGAAAGAATCCCAGGCAGGCTCCACACTATTAGTGCAGAGCCCCATGCCAGGCTCCATCTCAGGAACCATGATATCATGACCCAAGCCTATATAAACTTGAGCCAAAATCAAGAGTCAGTCACTTAAACAACTGAGCCACCCAGGGTCCCCAAAACAGATTCTTAACTATAGAGAACAAACTGATGTTTGCCAGAGAGGAGGTGGGTGGGGGGATGGGCTAAACAGGTGATGAGGATTCAGGAGTGCATTTATTGTGATGAACACAGGGTGATGTATGGAAGTGTTAAGTTACTATATTGTACACATGAAACTAATATAATGTTGTATGTTAACTAACTAGAATTAAAATACAAACTTTAAAAAAAGAAGAAAAATACAAAAAATATTGTAAAGCTTATTACAAGAAATGAAGAAAAATGTGAGTGTGTGTGTGTGTGTGTGTGTGTGTATACAGAACATAAGAGGGATTGGATTTTAGAATAAGATTAATTGTATTGCTTTCATAATTAAACCAAATCAACTAAAAGGAATTCAAAAGTAAACAAGATAATGGAAGACATGCACATTCAAACTGTCCAGTACAATCTCTACAAAACAGTACAGACCAACAAGGAGTAAAAATAAAATCATTAATCACTTGTGTTTATGTATATTCCACTTCTGGGTAATTTGAAGTTTTGGTATTTTGTATTTTCTAGTCATGTCGAAGAAGGAAAATTTGTATATTGTATTTTTATATAGTATATCAGAACAATTGGTGAATTTTAATAAAATTTATTGGTTAAAATATATAAAAGTTAATTTCCTAATTTGATAATTTTGCATATAAAATATTATATGAAAATATAATATCCTTGTTTATAAAAATTACACGCTAATGTAATTGAGGATAAAGTGCAATCACAATAATAGTATGTTCACATATGAATGTACATGTACATATATTATTATACATATATATGGAGAGAATAATAAAAGTGTCATAAAATGCTAATAATTCTTATGTAAATGCTAATTTAACTTTAACTTTGTAGGCAAATTCTAACAGGGCCTCTTTAAGAAAATTTACAACAAATACCCTCTGCATATAGAAAATGATTATGCATTCAAACAGTGAGGGATAAATTTTTTTCCCTAAAGTATAAATACGTAGACATTCAGACAAATATAGAGAAAGCTTAGAGATTGATTTTGTATTTTAGCCATGAGTTAATGGTGAATTGCATTTGAAAAAAAAATCTATCCATGTCAAAGAGATCGTCTCCTTCCCAGTAGACTAAAAATTATTAAGTGATATGAGCTCCAAATAGAAAAATGGAGAAACAGATTATCAGTTGACTCTTACCCAACAGACTAGATCTCTATAAATCATTTATCTATCACCAAAGGACTAGACCATGAAACTAAATTTCTAATCATTGTAGCCATTGATGGGAAATAAGTATAAACAGCGTAGTTGGAAAAGATATGCCTGTGTTTAAGCTGTCCATGAGAGTTGCACTTCCCTGGCAACAAACTTTATGTACTCCTTTAAGGTAAATACACTGGACATGTTTGTGGAAGACCTCCAAAATGGTTAAAATGAAATATATTTTTAAACAGGTAAAATTATAACTTCCATGCATATATGAAATAAAAATGTGTTAAAGATTTTATTTAATTCATTTTTATAAGGGATACATTAAAATGTTGTATCAATCCAATAAATCAATGGATGAATTCAATGAATAAATTCAATAAATGAATCCAATAAATCACTCATGAAGAAAAATTATTTAGGGATACAGAAAACAGTTTTTCCATGGATATGGTTATTAGTATAATGCTATTTCCATCACATCAGTTAACATGTAAGCTACATCTAAAAATTTTTTAAAAAAATTTTAACGTTTATTTATTGTTTTGAGACAGAGAGAAACAGAGCATGAAGGGGGAGGGTCAGAGAGAGAGGGAGACGCAGAATATGAAACAGGCTCCAGGCTCTGAGCTGTCAGAACAGATCCTGATGTGGGGCTCGAACTGACAGACCGTGAGATCATGACCTGAGCCGACGTCAGACGCTCAACCGACTGAGCCACCCAGGCGCCTCTATAAAATTTTGATACAAATTACACTAAGATATTTTAAAACAATTGAATAATAGATGTTGATTTATTTTACTTTATACAATTTATGTATTCCTGTCAATAAACTATGACTTTTTAAAACCGATTTTGATATTAATCAAAACAGTTTATTTTACCTTTGCTAAAGGAATACATGAATTTAATGCATAAAGGAAAGCATGAAATTCAAACTTTGAGATGATTGTAGTATTGTAATGTGATGAATATTTACAAAACTCTTTTTTTAAAATACTTTATAGATGCATGCAAATGAATGCAATTGTTTGACTGAAGAAGGCAATAAGGGATATTGGTGTCTATGTATTCCAAGATGGCCTGGAAAAACGTCTCTGGAAAATACAACTGATTATCAAGAAAGTGGGTGTCAACATGAAGCTATTTATAAAGATGAAATTAATAGATCCAGGTATTTATGAATCATTTGAACAAAGAATATCATCTCCTTATCAAAAAGTTATAATTGTACTGATAAGCCATAATTGATTTTTTAATGATTCAACAATTCCATGCATTTCTACTGCTCACTAAGAAAAGTATACTCTTAATTACATTTATGAATTTCACATAACCCCCTCTCACCCCCCTTCTGGCAAACACAAGTTTCTTTCCTATATTTAAGAGTTTTGTTGTTGGTGGTGGTGGTGTTTGTTGCTTTTTAATAAAATTGTTTATTTATTTTTGAGAGAAAGAGAGGGTGGGAGAAGGCAGAAAGAGAGAGAAAGAAAGAGAGAGAATTCCAAACAGGCTCTGGGCTGTCAGTGCAGAGCCTGACATGGGACTTGAACTCAGGGACTGTGAGATCATGACCTGAGCTGAAACCAAGAGTCGGATACTTACCTGACTGAGCTCCCAGGTGCCCCTGTCATTGTTGGCTGCTTTTTATTTTGTTTGTTTCTTAAATTCCCTATGTGAGATCATATGGTATTTGTCTTTCTCTGACTGATTTGTTTCTCTTAGCATTATACCTTCTAGGTCCATCCAAATTGTTGTAAATGGAAATATTTCATTCTTTTTTATGTCTGAGTAATGTTCTGAGATCTCTCTCTCTCTCCCTCTCTCTCTCTCTCTCTCTCTCTCTAATGCCACATCTTCATTATCCATCTATCAATGGACACTTGGGTTGCTTATATATCTTGGCTATTGTAAATAATGCTGTACTAAACACAGGGGTTCATATATCTTTATGAATTAGTGTTTTTGTTTTCCTTAGGTAAATACACAATAATGGAATTACTGGATCATATAGTAATTCTATTTTTACGTTTTTGAGGAATCTCCATACTGTTTTCCAAAGTGGCCGCACCAGTTTGCACTCTCAACAACAGTTACATGAGTTTTCCTTTTTCTCCACATCCTTGCCAATACTTGTTATTTTCTTGTGTTTTTGATTTTAGCTTCCTGAATTATTTTATAGTAATTAATAATAATATTTTTTGTGTAAAATGATTGGTATTTATATCTCAAACATATGCATATGTACTTATTATATATTATTTACATAATGTATATTATATTCTATTATGTGTAACAACATTAGCAACAAAGGAAGGACAAAAGAGGGACAAAAGAGAACAAAAGTGGGTAAGAAAGACATGTAGTAATAAATTTTCTGTATCACACAAGAATTAAATTAGTATCTGTGATATATTAAGTATGTGGTAGATCTGGTATGTTAAGGTATATATGGTAAACTCCAGAGCAACAGTTAAGAAAATAACTCAAATAATGTAGTAAAAACAGCACTATAGATACTAAAATTTGCCCCAGAAAATATTTACTTCATACAAAAGTAAGTAGTATCAGAATGGATATATGAAAAAGACATGAGATATATGGATAACAAAAAGGAGAATGGCAGACATAAATAAATCCAACTATATTAATAATAATATTAAAATAAAATGGATTAAAAATCCAGCCAAAGGCAAAGATTTTCAGGTTAGATAATTTCTGGATAAACATAGTATATACCATCCATAGGAGATACATTCTACATTTAAATGTACAAATGGGTTGAAAGTAAAAGGATAAAAAAATATATAGCATTCAATCAGCAATCATTGAAACTTGGGGTATCTATGTTAATATCAGACAAAATAGACTTTAAAAGAAAAAAATGGTTATTGAGAAAACAAACAACATTTTATAATTATAAAAAAATCAATCCATGAGAAGATGTAGCAATTATAAACATATATGTACTTAACAATAGAAATTCAAAATACATAAAACAAAAACTGACAGAATTGAAGAAAGAAATGGTGAATTCAACAATAATAGTTGGAAACTCCAATACTACACTTTAAGTAGTGGATGTGACATTTGGTAGATGAACAAATATATAAAACTGAGGAACACTACAGATAAAGTAGAACTGGCAGACAGCTATAGAACACTCTATTCAGCAACAGCAGAATGGCATTCTTCTCTAAAGCACATTGAACGTTTTCCAAGATGTTAATACTAGCTGCAATATATTTAAAAGGATTATGATAATAAAAATATATTTTCTAACTACAATGGAATAAAATTAGGAATCAAAAACAATAAGCTATTCAGTAAATTCATAATATGTGAAAATTAAATAATATAGTCCACATAAATCAATGAATCAAAAAGAAAATACAAGGAACATAGAAAATCATTTGAGATTAATTAAAATATAGATATGGCATGCCAAAATTCATGGGATATAGACAATGCAGCGTTTTTTTTTTCAGTTTATTTATTTGCTTTGAGAGAGACAGAGTGAGCAAGTAAATAGGGTAGGGATAGAGAGAGAGGGAGAGACAGAATCCTAAGCAGGCACCATGCTGTAAGCATGGAGCCCTATGCAGGGCTCTATCTCACAAACTGTGAGATCATGACCTGAACTGAAATCAAGAGTCAGATGCCTAACCGACTGAGCCATCCAGATGCTCAGGTGAGACAGTATTTAGAATAAAAATTATAGCTTCAAATGCTTATGTTAAAAAACAAAGAAGATCTCAATCAATATCCTCAACTTCCACCTTAACGTAATGGAAAAGGAGAAAACCAAATCTAAAGCAAGCCCTAGTTTGCCTCAGTGGCATCTGTACGATTCCCTGGTGTTGCTGCAGGGAGGGAGTGTCTCCGCTGGCCTGATCTTCTTTCTAATCACCTTCCAGGAGTCATCTATGTGGTTAGGACTGGTGGGCCAGGTGAGTCAGTCACATCTGGAGAGGCTGGTGGTACTAGAGGTGGTGAGGCCTTAGGACTAGGGTCAGGCTCCAGTGGAGTTTCAGCAGCCAGGGTGGCTAGAGGCACAAGTGTCAGTGAGGGGTACAGTGGGGCATATGACAGCGGGGTTCCCTCAGGCTTCTGCAGCAGTATAGGTATTTCAGTTTGGGGCCAGCATTTGGAGGAAGCCATGACATGAGCCATCATAACGTTACAGTTCTCTTCAATACAGACTTTTAGCCAAAGTGGCTGGGATAAGACCAGTTCTTGCCAATAGGCAATGCAGGAAAATTGGTTGGAGTGGCCTTGATCCCCCACAACGACCCTCAACACTTGGCCAACTAGTTCCTTATCAAGTGAGCCCTTGAAGGGGCAGCCGACCCTGAAAGATGGCTAATTTCACAGAATGTCCAGAGTTTTCCAGGAGATAATTTCACACCATAATCTCCTGAATATCCCTTTATGAAATTCCTCAACATACACTCTAGGGGAGTCAGCTTACTCTGCTTTCCACCCATTTCTTACCCCTAATGGATAACTTTCATGCACAAGAGATGAAAAAGGGGGAAGGGAGGGACTAATTTGTTGAGGATGCATACTCACTTCTTCCATTTCCAACCACTCTCCTCTCAGAGATATTTCAGGTGCCTCTTAGCATTGATGAGTTCAATATCAAGCCCTGATCTGAATCAGACTCCTGAGGAAGTCTGACATGCTCTAAGCCATATGAGGTCGCCATGGAACCACCGAGGATCAGGACTCAACACTTTGCTTTGGCCATTGGTCAGGTCCAGGTGGAACCTTTCCACTGTCCATCTCATTTGCACAGTTACACAGCTACTCCAACCTGCTGCCCAGCACCCAGTGCCTTAGAGTTGCAGTTTCATTCCTTATGGAACTACTCGGGCAACTCTGGGAGGTGATCAGGCTCCCCTTCTGTCTCTTAGGGGCAGGTCTGCCAAAAGAACCCAGGTTCTTACCAGTCTAACAGGTGGCACTCCCTGAGCTGGTTCCTGGGCCTCACAGTTTCCTTTGTGCATCCCAGCCTTCACCCAGCCTGCCAGGCTAGTCTCCTACAGTTCACTAGCTTCAGGTGAGGTCGCCTCTCCCAGTGCCCTGAGGTTTGTACCCTGGTGACAAGGGAGGTGAAACACCATTTCTGCCTCCCAGGTGAACCCCCACGAAATGTAGCATAAGTCAGACACAGAAAGTTGGGACATTGAGGTTTTCTTTCCAGGAAGCAGCTTTATTTTGTGCCAGCACGGGCTCAGCGGGCTAAGACCCAAAAGGCTGAGCCCTGAACACCTAAGGGTAGAGGGAGGGGGGTTGCCTTTTGTCCAATGTTTGCTCCTTTGTCTCCCATTTATGGTAACATACAGTTTGAATAGGTGGTCTATGTTACAGAGTTGAGGAATGTTGCAAAGGTGCACATAGCCAGGATGCCTTCCCTTGTCTTGAGGTTTATACCATATTCCTTAGGGAGTTCTACCAGGAGAACACATCTCATGTTTATTCTATGTCATTTAGAAAGTAAATATCTTTTTAAATTGCTAAAATAAGTATTATTTTCACTTTCTAAACATACAAGTAATTTGTGTTATAGCAATGAATTTTCTGGCTTTCTTTCTGGGACCTTTAAAATAAACTCGTTTCTTTAATGATCTATTTTTTAAATTTTCACATTTTCCATGTAATGCTAAATATAAGCAAAACACTATTTTTCATTTATAAGCAAAAGTTTTGTTTTAAAGTGTAAAATCTAAAAGTATATGATAAAATCAAGTATAGTTTCAAAACCTGTTTCTGTAGTGTTAGGAGGCTTATGTAAATACAGCTTTAGGTGACTATGCCACAGAAATATATTTTGATCAGGGTTTTTCTTAAGTTACTTCTGAACCAGGAAGTCTGATGATTATTAATTTCTAAGACTTTTAATGTTTGCTATGATATTGATGACTTTTCTAATTAAAGAACTTGAATGTCTTGTTTTGTGTTTATTTTTAATTTTTGGATATGCCATGAATACTTTTCTGGCTTCCAGGCAAGTTTTGTTACATTTTAGTCTCAGAAAAAAAGAAAAAGAAAAAAAAAAGAAAGAAAGGAAACTGAACTGCATATAAATATGGCTTACTGTATGTGTGCATATATGTATGTATTTTTTGTTTATGATTAGTTTTGTAACCACTAAACCACATTTCTCTAGCCGCTGAATCCTTTTGTCTACTGAATTTATATATACATACACACACACACACATATGTATGTGTATATTAATATGACATATATATGTATAATTAATATAAGACACATATAAGTGTATATGAAATACATATATCAATATAATGCATAACATAATACATATAACATGTATATATGTATATATATACATATATACATATATGTGTATATGTATATATGTAAATATATACATATATACATATATGTGTATGTATATATGTGTATATATATATATATTTGCTGTTGTTTGTTTTGTTTTGTTTTGTTTTGTTTCTTTTTATTGTGCTTTGGACAGTGTGATAACCTTGTGTCTCTAAACTTTAGAGTAAAATGATATAGAGGTCATTAATTCATTTAAGCAATTCTAAAGTAGGTATCCTTGTGTTTTCTGTATCCATGCCAAAAATTAATTATAACAAACTTCATTAAAGGAAGCACTTTTGTATAATTAATTTTCAACTATAGCATGAGTTGAAACTTAGCTAATATATACACAATTATCTTCCACGTGTCTTTTTTTTTTTTTTTTTTTTTTTTTTTTT